GGGAGGGGGCAGGGAGCAGAGGGAGAAGGACAAGCCAACTCCACACTGAGCACGGAGCCTGACCTGGGGCTGGATCTCAGGACCCTGAGATCATGACCTGAACCAAAATCAAGAGTCAGATGCTTAACCAACTGAGCCACCCAGGCACTCCTGCACCCTTCTTTTCTCTTTGTTTCTCTCTAGTCTTGGTCTCTATCTCTTGGTCTCATACAACACCTGACACAATCCACCTCTCCCTGTGTTTCTCTGCAGTTATTTTTCCTCATTAACTTGCTTGCACTCTTGAGTTCAAGTGCCTCCACTCCTGGCTTCTTGCCTAGAGTGGGATGGCAAGAGGGACTGTTCTAAGGACACCTCTCCTTTCCTGTCTGAATGGGAGGACCAGACTCAACCCCACCATCACAGACAATTAAGGGACTAGTCCTGAATGGATGTAAGTGTGTGTGTGTGTTGTGGGGGAGTTCAGAATGGAAGGGAGAAGCCAGAGCTGGAAGGGTCCTAGAAGGCAGCCTAGAGCTATGTCTTTTCTTACTCCCAAAAAAGACATCCTAGCAGCCTCGAAGACCTAGAAGGTGGTGCTGTGCGAGTCGCTCAGTTTTCCCAGAATCCCCACCACTTCTTTTGGATACAAGATGCCTTAACTCAGCCATCCATGCCTTACTCCAAAACCAGCAGTTTTCCTAAGGGATTTATTTCCCAAGTCTGAGAATCTGGACACATGAGAAGGACATTTGATTTTGTTTAATAACATGTATAGTCAAGATATAATACCCTGGAATTTTGCTTCAGGACAGTAAAGATTTACAAATATTTGGTACAAAAGGAGTTGAAAAACTATTTATTTAGATTATTACAGATAGCAATCAGTATGCCATGATTCTAGAAATGGTCTTCCTCTCTGGAGACTGGGGCTCAGAGATGGTCTCTATATCTTAGACTTTGAAAATCAATGTACACACACACACCAGCAAAGTCCTGATAAACCAACACAAGTAATCTTTGATTATTACTATTTAATATCACCTTGAATAGAAACAAAAGAACTTATTGAATAAAACCCTTTCTGGCCCCCTGAGTGGCTCAGTCAATTGAGCATACAACTCTTAGTTTAGGCTGGGGTCATGATCTCAGGGTGGTGAGATCAAGCCCGACATTGGACTCTGCACTCAGCGTGGAATCTGCTTGAGATTCTTTCCCTGACTTCTCCCATCCCTTCTGCAACTCCCCCTGCTTGCACTCTGTCTCTCTCTCTCTAAAAATAAATAAGTAAAATCTTTAAAAAAAAAAAAAAGAAATAAAACCCTTACAACTGAATTATTTCTTTTGCTATTCTAAATCTTCATCTTATTGTGTTTAAAAAAAAAATGATTAATTGGGGTCTGGCAAAGAGAAAGGAGTCATATTTGTTCTTTACCAAGACTTTCTAAAATAATATGGTTACCCTATTTTTGACAGATTCCAGAAACTGAGGCCAAGAGGGTTAGGTGACTCACCAATGAAGAAGAGGTGGAGTTGAAATTTGAACCCAGATTGTCTGATTCTTGAATACAATAGTCTAGCTACAGCTAGACTGCCTCCCACATTCTACCAAGACATGTTGAACTAGGGGTTGAGCTGAGAGACTAGAAATATGAAGAAAGAGGGATGGCCCCAGTGGATTTCCCTGGGTGAATTCAATCCATCTTTATTCAGGTGGGAGATTACAAGTTATATAACCAACCCCCCAGATAAAGCAATATCCTCTCTAATGGCATCCATACCCGGAAAACTTGAATCTCAGGGTGTTCAGATTTCTGCACAGCTGATTTCTCAGAACATATTTAAGCAGGATCTGGTTCCCTGGACACAACCCTTCAACCTGACACCATGGAGCTAGGAGGGGCCTTCACCATCTTTCTGGCACTCTCCTTGTCTTGTCTACTCATCCTCATTGCCTGGAAACGGAACAACAAGGGGGGGAAGCTGCCCCCTGGGCCCACACCAATACCCTTCCTGGGGAACGTGTTGCAAGTCCGTACCGATGCCACTTTTCAGTCTTTCATGAAGGTAAGTCTGACGACTCCTCTCACAGAGCTGGAAGCAACTAATTCTATAGACATATGTATAACCTTGTAACATCTAAAACACAGACTCTTGGAAACACAGACTTCATAAAGCCTATGAATACTGAAATTCCAGAATCTTAAACGCTTGGAAACACAGACTCCTGGCACACTGGAAATTAAGACTCTCACAATCTCAGACTTTGGAGTCGTAGTACCTTACACACTTAAACACAAGAACTCATGGACTTAGAACTTTGACACTCAGTATCATGAAATCTTAGGGTTCTAGAAATTGAGCATTGCAGAAAGAGAAGCATAGATCTTGGAGTCCAACTCATCGAGGTCCACCATTTTACAGATGAAGAAACTAAGGCTTTTGGAGACTTTGGGGGGTCTTGCCCAGGATCACAGGAGCCAAGGCATTTGTGCCTTTTTCTCAATAGTCCTTCCAAGACCAAGACTCACCTTTATCTGTTATTCCTACATTTGTACCCTCTTGAAATTCCCACCCTAAAGTCCTCAATTGATCTATACTTGGTGCTCCAATCAGCTCCCTCCTCTTATGTCTTCCTTTACTCCCAGCTCAAGGAGAAGTATGGCCCAGTCTTCACTGTGTACATGGGTCCCCGGCCAGTAGTTGTTTTATGTGGACATGAGGCAGTGAAGGAGGCCCTGGTAGACCGAGCAGATGAGTTCAGTGGCCGCGGAAAACTGGCTTCAATAGAGCGAAATTTCCAAGGTCATGGTAAGTAACAACAACAACAACAAAATGATTATAATATACTTCCTATGTCCCAGGTTCTTTGATAAGTACTCTGTATGAATCATTGCATTGACTCCGTTGAGAGAACTATTAATGTCCTACTAATTTTGCAAATGAGGAAGCTGAGGTTGAGAAAGTTTGGGTAATATCACACAGTAAGTGGAACCATTTTGTTTTGAACCCAAACCATCTGACTCTTGAGTATCTGCTGCATTACTTCTGTTTTTAATGGATTAGTGGCACTGTGTACCCACTGAAGCCCTTTCAGCCAACCTTACTTCTTATCTCTCTATACATACATACACACCCAACCCATAGGTCTCTGCCACCTCCATTTAGGTAGATATCTTTCTAGTGTGTCTTATACATCCATCTTTAACTGCTCACACCCTTCAGTTCCAAGAAGCCTCATGCTATTCTTTCCATACTTCCATCCATCTATCTATCCCTGTCTATTCCATTCCATTTATCCACTTTTCTATTGATCCATACATCCACGAAAAAATCCATTTATTAATTAGCCTTTCTATACAAATATCTTTCTATCTAATTTATCTGTACATCTATGAATTAACTCTCCATTTACCCATCTATCCATCATTCCATCCATCCATTTGTTAACCCTTCTATTATTCACCCATCAATTAATCTTCCAATCCATAAATCTTTCCAACCATTTATCCATTCATCTCAAACTATCTATTCATTAACCCTTTACTCATCCATTGAGTCTTTTGTCCATCCATCTATCAGTTATTCCAGTCAAAAAACTCTTCCTTCCATTCATTAATCCACTGAAATAATTTCATTAAATTTCCAAACATTAATTATCAATCCATGCACATCTGGTAATTTCTAAATGTTTCTTACTACAAGGTAGGTATAGTGATGTACAGGCGTGAGCTTCTATGTACATGTATGCATATATCTAGAGAATCTAAGTGGTGTATAGAAGATAAAAGTAGTTCTTCTTTCCAAGGTACTGTAAATGGCATTCTACCTACACCTCCCTCCACTTTCCTATGCATCCACCTCCCTCCACCTTCCTACGCATCCAGCCTTCCTATTTATCCAGTTCTAGGTCTTTATCCTGTAAGATACTCTCCTTGATCTCCCTGAATCATTCCTAGCTTGATTTCCTTTCCCTTCATCTCAATCCTAGACTGTTTTTGAGGGTGCTTTAGAGAGGGAACCATAGTCTCTCCATCAAGCCTGGGAGGTTGGGAGGGGCTTCCCTGAGACCAGAGTGTAGAGTTTTCATAATTTGTCCCCATCCTTGTGTAGCACAGAGTTGGACACAGGAAGGGAAGGGGAGGCAGGAGGCTGACATGGAGATTCTGGCAGGTGTAGCTCTGGCTAATGGAGAACGATGGAGGATCCTCCGACGCTTCTCCCTGACCATTCTTCGGGACTTCGGAATGGGAAAGCGGAGCATTGAAGAGCGGATCCAGGAGGAGGCTGGCTTCTTACTAGAGGAATTACGGAAAACCAAGGGTATGGGGTGGGGTGGGGGCACATGGGGCAGGGCTAAAAGGTAACTGAATGGTTATAGAGAGCTCAGTCATGAGAAGATGGGCCTTGGTGAGAGAAAGCTCTAGAATGGGAGAGGATGAAAAAGACTAAGGGTTTACTGAGATTTCTAGCCTGGTTCCATGTTAAAAGTTAACATGCAAGCCCCTTAGAGACCACTTGTTCAGAAGCTTTAATCAGTGGATCTCAGGGATTTTGTGAGCCCCTGAAATCATGTGCAGACTTTTGCAATATGTAAATTAGTGCTTTTTTCTGGTGACAGGATGAAATTTAATTGCATACTTATGTATACATATAATACATACATGCAATTGTTATAAAAATCATACAACATAAAATTTTACCATTCTAACAATTCTTAAGAGTCTTTTTCAGTGTATTTGCATTGTTGTGAAACAGATCTTTAGAACTTTGTAATCTTGCAGATCTGAAACTCTATGCCCATTTGATTATATTTTTTAAGGAATCCAATCCCTGCCTCCAAATAAGGTCTGGAACCAATGGGATTTAGAGGAAAAAAGACAGCAGCTAAGAAATACAAAGAGGAATAGATAAGATATAGACAGAGAGATAAATTTCTCTAAATCAGAGTTTTTCTTTTAGGCTTCATGGATGCTAACTAAACAGTCTACATAAAGGCTTTGAATATCTATGTACCCCAGAAATTATTTGCAAAATTGTGTATTTGTGAATATGAGCATTGTCTCCAGATCCAGCATCCTTGTTTTAGATGGTGCAGCTGAGGCCAAGGGTAGAATTTTCTTAATAGCTCAAATAGAATCATTGATAGAGATATATGGAATCCAGTCATCCTTTTTTTTTTTTTAATGTGTCCCATACCATGACTTCTTTCCCAAATCTGTGACTCTACAGCACAAACACAGTTAAATACTAATACCGAAAAGTAATGATTAAACTCCACCAGCATTTCTTGAGTGCTTACTACATGGCAAGGACTGTGCTAAGCATTTCACATGGATAATTATATTGAAGCCTCAGGTTTAGTGGTTACTAAACCAATTTACATACTGGAAAATCTAGACTCAAAACACAAAAATGAAGTAACTAACACTTGCTATTAAGCAGTGGTGTCAGGACTCGTATCCATGACTGAATGATTCCCCATCCTGTGCTCCTAATCATTGTCTCCAACCTAGACAATTTCCACCATCCAGGTTCTCCCATCGAACCCACCTTCTTCCTGAGCCGCACTGTCTCCAACGTCATCAGTTCTGTCGTCTTTGGAAGCCGCTTTGATTATGAGGACAAGCAGTTCCTGAAGCTGCTGCAGATGATCAATGAGAGTTTCATTGAGATGAGCACACCTTGGGCACAGGTGCCCACCAACACTTCCCTGCCCACCGCCAACTTCAGTTAACTAAGTACCTGCCTATACCTCACTTAATCCTCCCCACAACCCTGGGAGTCAAGTAACAATACACCTGGAGTCTCCAAGAAACAAATGGACTCACCCAATCCTCAGACCCAGTGCTGGATGTTGAGCCCAGCTAGCTGACTCCAGACTCAGCCTATGTTGGCCCCAGGTGCCCATTGCTGACAAACCCCCTTTGTCTATTCCCCACAGCTATATGACATGTACTCTGGGATCATGCAATATTTGCCAGGAAGACACAATTGCATCTACTACTTGGTAGAAGAACTCAAGGACTTCATTGCCTCTAGGGTGAAGATCAACGAAGCATCTCTTGACCCACAAAACCCTCGGGACTTCATTGACTGCTTCCTCATCAAGATGTACCAGGTACCTCTTCCCCTTTCCCCAATCCTTCTCTCTCATCATCCTATTCCCTAGCACCTGCAATTTTAACCTGCAAACATGTTGGAGACAAGCACTGTTTCACATGGTTGACTTTTATTTATAGATGAGATATAGAAACTGTAAAGGCATGCATAAACTCTTACGCTTTTTTTTTTTAAGATTTTATTTATTTATTTGACAGAGAGACACAGCGAGAGAGGGAACACAAGCAGGGGGCATGGGAGAGGGACAAGCAGGCTTCCCACTGAGCAGGGAGCCCGATGTGGGGCTCGATCCCAGGACCCCGAGATCACGACCAAAGCCAAAGGCAGACACTTTACGACTGAGCCACCCAGGCGCCCACTCTTACGCTTTTAAAATAAACTTTGAATCTAGAAATTTTAGGAGCAAGGATACTTAAAACTTATACTTTTTAAATCATTTGTGATTATAACTGCCAGAGACTTACAAATACAGAAAACCAGAATGAGTCTTTACAGTCTTAGAATTTGAGAAGCTTAGACTAAGAATTTGAGAAACTTAAGAGTTTAAGCTTTAAACTTAAAAGTCTTAAAGATGTAGAAATTTAGAAGCTTAATACTTCTATATCATAGAGTCTTAGAATTTTAGAAATTTATGATTTTTTTGTTATACAAACCTCAGCACTTGGAATTTTATAATTGCATAGCTTAATGTCCTAGAACTTTCAAATCTCTACTTTTTTCTCTTCCCAGTCTCCCCACTGTCCACTCCAATCACACTGGCCTCCTCCTTGCTGTTCCTCTACACACCGGACACATTTCTGCCCCAGGACCTTTGTTCTGGCTGTTTCCTCTCCCAGATAGTCACTTGGTTTAACCATCTATTGTGTTTTCACAAAGGGTGACAATAAGAAGATAAAGACAGAAGAAGGTGATTCTATGTCCTATCCCTCTCGTTTTCAGGATACAAATAATCCCCACACAGAATTCAATCTCAAGAATTTGGTCTTGACCACACTCAACCTATTCTTTGCTGGCACAGAGACTGTGAGCTCTACACTACGTTATGGATTGCTGCTAATGATGAAGTATCCTGAGGTGGAAGGTGAGTGTCCACCTGAGCTGCTTACCAGGTGACTCCCATTCCCAACGGAGAAGAAGACATAATCTTGAAACCGTAGAATCCCATGGCCTTATACTCTTCACACTTTGGAATCTCAATCTACAGAATCTCATAATCTCTGACTTAGAAGTCCATTTAATTAATCTTCTACTTGGTGCTTGTGTTAGTTTCCTAGGCTGCTGTAAAATTACCAGAAATTTAATAGCTTAAATTAGCATAAATCTATTATCCTACAGTTCTGGATTTCAGAAGTCCACACAGGATTTCACTGGGTGGAACCAAGGTAGAATCAGTTCCCTTGCCTTTTCAGCTTCAAGAGCTGTATTTTTTGCATTCCTGGGCTCATGACCCTTGCTCCATCTTCAAAGCCAGCAGCATAGCATCTTCAAATCTCTCTGCCTCAGTTGTCATATCTCCTCTGACTCTGACCCTTCTGCTTCCCACTTATACAGACACTTGTGATTATATTTAGGGCCAACCTGGATAATCCAGGATAATCTCCCCATCTCAAGAGCCTTAACTTGATGATGTCTTCAAAACCCCTTTTGTCCTCTATGGTAGCATGCACAGGTTCCAGGGGTTAGGAGGTAGTATCTTTGATGGACATTATTTAGCCAACTATAGTGCCAGAATCCAGTAGAATCCATCTCCAATAAATTGCAATCTGGTCTGGTTGGGTAACTCTAGTGATGAGGAACTCATTCCTTCCTTAAGGAAAACCCCCAATTTCGGCATCTCTCCCTTCTAATGCAGTTCAAAACAAGCCAACAAATTTTTCCCTGTATAAACAATGGGAGAAACTAACTTATTTCCACTCAGACTTTTCTAGCCCCTCCTCCATTGTCTAAGTTGTGTTTTACCAAATAATAATAATAACGAAGTATCTAAATAATCAGATATTTAATGGACACCTGCTATGTGCCTAGGCACTGTTGTAGTTACTTGCACGCTGGATTTTATGTAAATTTTACAACTCTATGAGCTTGTTGGACCATCACATCCATTTGGAAGATGAAGAAACAGAGGCTCAGAAGGTAAAGTTATTTGCCTCAGAGTCACTCATCCAGGAAGTGCAGGGAGGGGTAACTGCACCAATAGTGTTTTTAATTTCTGTTACTAATTGCTATCACTTGCTTCAATCCTGTCCTGGTTATGTATTGTACCTTTCTCCCATCCTGTCAAAAATCTGTGTATCACAGCCCGTCTGGAACCAGGACACTGCCCTGCTCGTTAGTGCTTTCAAGATAAAGACCAAACATCCCAGAGGGCACTCAAGGCTCCAGGCTGCGTGTCTCCCCGTGGTCTGATGGGAGCACCCCACCAATGTGTCAGGTGTTAAGAATAAAGAGGCAATGCAAACACATATAGTGTGCTCCCTCAGGATCCACAGGTACTAACGGTACAAACCCATAGCTGAGCCTTGGCCTCCAGAAACACCTCCTGTGTCCTTGTTGGCTGTTTTCTGGCCCCTTCTAGCCAAGATCCATGAAGAGATTGACCAGGTGATTGGACCACACCGGATCCCAAGTGTGGACGACAGAGTCAAGATGCCCTACACAGATGCTGTGATCCATGAGATACAGAGACTGACAGATATTGTACCCATGGGTGTCCCCCATAATGTCATCCGGGACACTCATTTCCGAGGCTACCTTCTGCCCAAGGTAGAGCTGGTTCTCATTGTTATCACTTCTCCCTCCACCTCACTCCTCTCTCCTCCTGGTTCCTTGACCCCACCCTCCAACACAGATTTCTCCTAACTGTCCCCATTTTCACTCCAGGGCACTGATGTGTTCCCCCTGATTGGCTCTGTCCTCAAAGACCCCAAATACTTCCGCTACCCAGATGCCTTCTATCCCCAACACTTCCTGGATGAGCAGGGCCGCTTCAAGAAGAATGAAGCCTTTGTACCTTTTTCCTCTGGTAGGTTTCTACGGTCTGAGTCCCCCCCACTCCCACCCCAGGAACATGCTAGATGTGACCCCCCCAATCACTGGTCTGTATTTGACATTCAGGTCTGAATGGGAAGTTGAATGCTATTTCCCAGAATCCCAGAATCATGGGCTATTAGAACCATTGACTCTGATAATTAGAAAAGGTATAGCACTAAACAGGTATCAGCAAACTTTTTCTGTTAAGGACCGAATAGAAAATATTTTAGTTTTCATCAGCCGTAGTGTCTCAGTCTGAACTATGCAGTCTGAACTATTCAGCTGCCCCCTTATGCCGCAGAAGTGACCATGGACAGTATGAAAATGCATGAGAATGACTGTGATGCCAAAAACCTTTATTTATGGACATAGAAATTTTGATTTCATCGAATTCACAGGTCACAAAATATTATTTTGCTTTTGATCGTTTTCACCTATTTGAAGATGTGAAAAGCATCCTTAGTTTTGTTAAAGAACAAATCTTCAGTTGAGTAAATTTGAATATATAATCGGCTTTATTAAATGATCCATGAATCAAGCAGCATTCCATCTGTAAGTAGAGGGGAGCCTCAGGAGTTGCAGAAATAGAAGGTCTGTATAGGGAGGAGAGTGGGCAAGAAGTTATTAGCAAAAGAAAAGAAAGGATTGTTATAGGCAAGGTCACCTTCCCCTAGGGGAAGGGCAGGGTTTTTTAAACTTAAATTTAATTAATTAACATATAGTATATTGTTAATTTCAGAGGTAAAGTTCAGTGATTCATCAGTTGCATATAACGCCCAGGGCTAATTACATCACATGCCCTCCTTAATGCCTTTAACCGAGAGTTAAGAGTCTCTTAAGGTTTGTTTCCCTCTCTGATTTCGTCTCGTTTTATTTTTTCCTCCCTTCCCCTATGATCCTCTGTTTTGTTTCTTAAATTCCACATATGAATGAAATCATATGATATTTGTCTTTCTCTGATTGACTTATTTTGCTTTGCATGATGCCGTCTAGCTCCATCCATGTCATTGCAAATGGCAAGTTCTTATTAGGCGGATTACGTCATCTTCCTTTAGGGGGTGGAGAGGGCCCATGTGACAGATCACTTCATTGGTGCTGATCAAAAAATTCCCAACTAACTGGTTAAGACTACATTTCTGGGGGAGGTTAGATATTGAGCTTGGTTTGATGACTGGGCCTAACATAAATTACTCCATTTGGGGCCTCTGGTTTTCTTTTCTTTTTTTTTTTTTTTAAGATTTTATTTATTTGACAGAGAGAGATAGTGAGAGAGGGAACACAAGCGGGGGAGTGGGAGAGGGAGAAGCAGGCTTCCCGCTGAGCAGGGAGCCTGATGCAGGGCTCCATCCCAGGACCCTGGGATCATGACCTGAGCCGAAGGCAGACGCTTAACGACTGAGCCACCCAGGCGCCCCTCTGGTTTTCTTTTTTAACAGTTTGCAGGCAGTACAAAAATAGGCAGCAGGTGAATTTGCCTAATGAACAGTAGCTTGTGACCCATGACATAATACCTTAGAATAGTATTTTAAGTATAAGCCACACTGAATCAGTGCAGTGGTTAGGAAACAGGGCCCCACCTCACCACTTACAAAAGGTGGAGTCATAGGTGAGTTACTTCCGTTCTCTGCCTGTAAAATGGAGATCCATCTCTCCAAACCACTGGAAGGGTGACCAACAAATAGTAAACATTATTTAAGGGTGAGCTTTCTTTTCTATTTTTGTTTCCCCTCACCAACATCTGGCACCTAGCAGGCATTTGATAAACCTTTGAGAAATTTAAATGAACAGAAACTTCAAATTCGAGGATTTTTTAGAAGCATTCCATCTTGGGAGCTGATGGAATCAAGCCATCAGAGAAATAGGGGCCATGTGTTGAGACCCTATAAGTGGCAGATCCTAGCAAAGCCCACTGAGTCTTTATAGTAACCCCTACAAAGCAGGTTTTATCATGACCCCAAGGATGCTGAGGGGGGCACTGAGGAGCGATGGGGCCAGAACGCACCCCACGCCCTCATGATCCCAGTACAGATATGAGCAGCCCTCCCACCCTCCCCTGTGCCCACAGGAAAGCGCATCTGTCTGGGCGAGGCCATGGCCCGCATGGAACTCTTTCTTTACTTCACATCCATCCTTCAGAACTTCTCTCTACACCCGCTGGTGCCGCCCGCTGACATTGATATCACACCCAGGGTCTCAGGCTTTGGCAACATCCCTCCAACCTACGAGCTCTGCCTCAAGGCCCGCTGAGCGCCCCCTACTGGGCGCTGAAGGAACCGTTGGAGAACAGAGTTCTGTTCACGGATACAGGTGCACCACCTCATCTCCTCTAAGTTGGAGAGGAGCTCACAACAGCTTAAATTCTCACAACAGCTCTAAGAGAAGGCACTATTCCTACTGTCATGGGACTGCAGGTCAGGGAGGTTACCTGCAAATACAGAGATGTGTATCGGCTGCATTCAATGGAAAAGCAATGCGCTGTTCAAGATTTCAGCAACAATCTGGAGGATTTGTGTTCTCATGTTCCCCTCTACGGGTGATTCTCGTCTCCACCAAATTCTTGTTGTAGATTCTATGTCTTTATGTGATAGTGACCCAAATGTAGTTCTCCATTCTTCTCCCTGATTATCATCTTCCACACAAAATAAAAGACGCCAGGGTATCAAGGCTGTTGCGTGTAGCATGCTTCTTATGTGTTGCGTGCACCATCACTGTACATCATAGAAAACTACTTAAAATGACCTTTTAGACATCTTTGTTACTATTTATCCTTCCTAGCAATCCACCACCAGAGATTTTCCACTTGATGGTCCACCTCCATTCTCAACCATCTTGCTGGCTCCTTCCTCCAACCCCCATCAATCATCTCTCCCTCTAAACCTGCCTTCCTGATCTAGAGGGCACTTCTTTCACAACTCCCAGTTCCAAATTCTCCCCATTCCATTTTGAAGAATAGTTCAGCCACCCCAACTTCTATTATTCTATTTCCAAACTCCATCAACTTGCTCAGTGGATGAAAGCTTTCCTTCATACTTCATTTCATTCAACCAATGTTTACTGAATACCCAACATGTACCAGTACCCTCTTCAAGTACTTGGGATCCATCAGTGAACAAAGCAGATCAAAACTCCTGCCCTGGCGGAGTTTCCTTCTAGTGGGAGAGGTAGACAATGAAGAATAAACATAATAAATAAGTAAATGATAGAGTATGTTAGAACAGCAGAGATTCCAGGATTGGGATTATGATCGGGACAGGGTAGATCTCACAAGGTGTTGGAGGAACAAGCTATGCAGGTATCTGGGAAGGGAGTGTTTCTGGCAGGGAGATAAAAAATGGCAGAGTTGTAAAGCAGGAGGCTGTGCGTGTGTGTTCTAGAACCCACAAGGAGACTGTGGCTGGGGTGGAGGAGGAAGGGTAGGGGAAATGGGAAGAAGGCAGGGCATTAAAGGGCCAGATTGTGTGGAGGCTCGTGGACCTCAGTAAGCACCTGGGCTTTTAGTCTGAATGAGATGGCGGTTCCTGGTGAGCAGAGGATGACATACACTGACTGACATATTTTAAAAGCAAACTCTGACTGCTGCATGAAGAATAGACTGAGGGTGGGGAAGCAGAGATACCTGCTGTACAGGCAAGGAGAAGTGAGTGGGTTTGGAATCTGCTGTGAAGATGGAGCTGGCAGGGTTTGCTGATGAAATGGATGTGGGGTGGGGGAAAAAGAGGGTCAGGGATGAGACCTCAGCCTTTGGAATCTCTCTCTTAACCTCATATGTTCCAGGTACATGAGCCCCCATAAGAGTTGGCTTTGTAATTTTAGGGAACATGAACAGACTGTGGATACTTAAGTATATAAGGCTGCTGGCTGCTGTGAGTTTATCAATAAGTTCATATTATTTTGTGAATTCTGGAGACCGGGGCTCAGAATATGAGCAGGGAAAAAAAGAGTTAACAGCCAGGGGCTGCTGCCGCCACTGTCCCCCCAGTGACCCCTGCAACCCTGGACACTGAACCATGGCTGTGGGACTCTTGACCCATTGCCGCCACTGTGGACAACTTCCTGATTGTATTTGTGATTTTGTGTTACTTCCTCATGATTCAAAGTTTCAGGCAGAACTATCCAGTCAATCACATGTTAAAGCCTTAGGGCTCAGGGTTTGGTGAGGAAGAATAAATGGTCCCTCTAGCTGCTGTGGTGCAAAGCCTTGCCCCTGACCAAGAATCTCACATTAGGAGATTCTCCCAAAATTGGAAGGGATTTTGAGATGGGGTGGGCAAGAAACAACAAATGTCATTCCTTACACACAATATGTCCATTGGGTCTTCTGGGACTCAGAGGCTAAGTTGAAGTTAGGAGGGCAAGCATTTCATGGAGGGGTAATGCTTGTGAATGATAAGAGAGGGAAGAAACAGAATAGGTCAGAAGGGTCTTCAAACCCAGATGTAGACGTGACACACTTGTGGAATGAAAAAAGAAGGAAAATTGGGTGAGAAGAGACCCAGATCTCCATGCAGAGCTGACAGAGTCTCATTCCATCAAAAAGTACATCGAGATTGAAGATTGTCTTTTAGGGGTGTCTCATGTTGGGGACAAATTGTCATGCCCTATGTCCCAACTGTCCTCAGTCTCTGAGGCTTTCTTGGAAGAGTGTGGACTCAGCTCCAAGCTGAGGTGGATCCTGACAGTGCTGCGGCTGGAGGCTGTCAGCTCACTGCTCTCTTAGCAGCTGAACATCAAGTTCTCAAAGGGGGATCTGGAGGCACATCTCCATGCCCACCACGGACACAGACATACCAAACACACATCATTATAGCCCTACCACTCTTTCCATGAGTAGTCTTTAGAGCTACCAATACATTTAGCAAGTATATAGACCAATGGTCATAACACATTCTTAGCTGTGAAAATCTTATGCAGGATTTTCCTGTGTGCAAGTCCAATACATGAAATAGGGAAAAAGATTGCTCATCTCCCTCTGAGTGAAGCACAGAAGAGCTCTAGACCCTCAAAGACCCTTCACTTTCTCTCATGAGGAGACATCCCCAGGGCCACAAGGCACCCAGCCATTCCAGACACATTCCTGCCCTCAGTCCTGCACCCTGTTGGGATCTGCTGACATTAAGGTGACCAGGAGAGAATCAGTCACTGACCACATGGCTCACAGTCCAGCACATAAATTACTGGTATCAAGGAAAACCAGTAATTAGATGGGTTTCATCTAACAAAAACAAAAATCAGAGTTATAGAACAAAGATGATAGAGGCAGAAGGAAAAACTAGGCAATGTGGAGACTATGAACTTCATTTTTCTTTTCTTGAGTGGGCTGCTGACAAACTGGCAGCAAGGCTGGTTCTGCCCTTGGGCAGTTAGATGGATCATCAATAAAAACAAAACGAATTCTTTATTGGATTGTCCAGGAGATCTTGGGACTTTAAATCTGCAGTGTGTGAAAGGCTCTCTCTATCCATATCTGTCATGTCCTTAGCACCTTCATGTTTGGTTTTTATCATTTACTTATCAGAATTTCCCACACTGCTCCCTCATGAGACACATGCGTTGCCATTCTTTTTATTATTATTATTATTATGTCAGTGACCATACAGTGTTTCATTAGTTTTTGATGTAGTGTTCCATGATTCATTATTTGCAAATAACACCCAGTGCTCATTGCAATATGTGCCCTCCTTAATACCCATCACCAGGCTAACCCATCCCCTCACCACCCACCCCTCTGAAGCCCTCAGTTTGTTTTCCAGAGTCCATGATCTCTCATGGTTCATCACCCCCTCTGATTTTCCCCCCCTTCAGTTTTCCCTTCCTCCTCCTAATGTCCTCCATGCTATTCCTTATGTTCCACATATAACTGAAACCATATGATAATTGACGTTCTCTGCTTGACTTATTTCACTTAGCATATGCATTGTCTTTCTTCTCAAAATTTGTCAATTTAATGATCAAGAAAAGGTGACACACTATGGTTTAGGTTTTTATTTCTTTGATTAGTAATGAGACAGGACTTTTGTGTGTTTATCCTAACATTTCTACTTTAAAGAGTTGTCAGTTTATATCCCTCACCCATGTACCTACTCTATATTCAGAATTTTTCTCATTGATTCTATAAACTTGTCATGTAATGAAGATGCTGACCTTTATTCTTGGTTTTGGATAAAGGGATTTCATGATGCATTTGCCCTTGAATTCATGGTTGTTGTTGTTTTTTTTAAACAATGAAATTATTACTTTTGAAGTCAAATTCTAATTTTTTGTGATTTGTCTAATTATCTCTAGTTTTAAAAATTTCTTCTCTGTACATACTTTTTGACCCAACAGTTACACTTTAGAAAAGGGTGCAAAGATGGAAACACAAGGATGTTCATTTCAACTGTGTTTATAAAGCCAAAAATAAGATTAATAATCCACATGTGCATTTTCTAGCAGAGTAGCATGCATTGGTTATCAATACCACGGGAGCAGAACACTATGCACTAGTTACCAATCCCAGGAGAGGACTCCAACTACATGAAGGATGGGAAAAATCATCACCATTACAACCACCAAGAACAGAAGTCCAAACGCTTCTGCCAACTGCATCTTGGTATCAGAGTTGCTAAGGAAAATACAATACAGTCAAGTACTGCATGGAACAATGGTGAATTGACATAGAGGAGAGACAGCAACATCAGCTTTAATAGTGCCCATTCATCCCTCATGGCTAGCAGGTCTCTTCTAGCAGGTGACACAGGGCAATTCACCTCTGGCACACCTCTCTTGTGCCACATGGAAAGACCCTGTCCCCATCCTGTGGGGACAGATATAGCAGTGGGGTTGGCTGGGTGCCGTATGCTTAAGCAGAACAAAGGAGTACTCATTGAACTTAAACAGGAATAGATATTCCTAGCCCAAGTGATAAGCCCAGCACAGGCTGTGTAGGCTCTTTCTCTCTTGGTAAGAAGTGTTTCAGGCCCAAGAATCATTTGTATGTGGCTGAGCAGGAGGTCAAACGACTGTGCACTTTGAGACAGCCTCTTCCAACATCAATCTATAGGGGGCTGATATATCTCACACAATAAGATACTAAGCAACCAATAAAAAGTAATAATTAGGGGCGCCTGGGTGGCTCAGTCGTTAAGCGTCTGCCTTCGGCTCAGGTCATGATCCCAGGGTCATGGGATCGAGCCCCGCATCGGGCTCCCTGCTCAGCGGGAAGCCTGCTTCTCCCTCTCCCACTCCCCCTGCTTGTGTTCCCTCTCTCA